TGATAGATAAGCATTATATTCCCACTCATTATATTCGTAAATTTTGAGGTTTATCCTTCGACAAACCCAAATTTTAGCTAAAAGTGACAGGGAAAAAACGTTTAGTATTAAAAAAAAGACCGATGAGAGCTTCGTTCGAAATATAGAGGGAACTGAGAATGCACAACCATTCTCAGGGAATATTGGATGCTATTTCCGTTCCCTCTGTATGGAAAATTGAGGTTTTCAAAGGGAGTTAAAATAATATCAAATTTATACTAATTTACTTCAAAATACAAAAGTATTTGACAGCTAAAATTAGTTACTTTAGCAAGCCTATCAATACCCTTTTACGATTATTGTTACTTTTTCGAAATAAAAGTAAAAACAAATTTATACTAATTTACTTCAAAATACAAAAGTATTTGACAGCTAAAATTAGTTACTTTAGCAAGCCTATCAATACCCTTTTACGATTATTGTTACTTTTTCGAAATAAAATAAATTTATTATCAAAAACCTTTTTTTTTCTTAGTAAAAATAAACGAAATTTTTTACCTTATGAACTTTTGATGGAAATATGCAAATTTAAAATAATAAAGAAAGCCGCGAGCGAAGCGATCGGCTTAGTTCGAAGATTTTGATTCAAATCTTTGCTGATCTGTAATTCGCGAGAAAAAAACATAGCACACATTTGCACACATTTTGACACTTTTTCTGACAAGCATCATTCAAATTTGAAGAAAAACCTCTAAATTTCATTCAAATTCCTGTCAAAATGTGTGCAAAATTGAAATAGGCACACATTTTGACATACGATTATTTATATACGTTATTTTAATGGTTTCAGAGAAATCTTCGTTACACATTATTGAAGATTACTCAATATTTAAGTGAATGACTCACTACCACCTGTTTAGAAAAATGGTAGCATAAAATCCAAATGTCACATATATTATTTCTTATTTCATACAAATAAACTTACAATTATAACCTCAACTTGTTTGCAAAGCAGAAACTCAATATAAGCAATCGATCAGTAGTGTATTTAAAAGTCGAATTTAAATTTAAAAATTTATAATCTTATTTCGGAACCAATTAGTATAAATTTAGGACAAAAAGCTACGTGGTGTTGATAACAACTATTAAAATTCAAATATTACTACCATGAACAATACAATGGCTCATATTGATAATTGATAAACGTGCATATAAATTGCATATATCATCAATGTCATTAAGTAAAATACATGTATATAAATAGATTAGAAATATTTTTCGGTTAGAATTAAAATCTATGTAATAAAAAATAAGTTATAAAAATAAATACCGAATTTTTATTTGTAATATAAACTGCTACAATATGCTAGTGTATACAAATGTATTTGTCGTATTGATTTGAAAGATCTTCAACATGGTTCAGATCTAAATTTGAAACTCGTAAAATAAAGCGAATCTTTATTTGTAATATAAACTGCTACAATATGCTAGTGTATACAAATGTATTTGTCGTATTGATTTGAAAGATCTTCAACATGGTTCAGATCTAAATTTGAAACTCGTAAAATAAAGCGAATCTTTATTTGTAATATAAACTGCTACAATATGCTAGTGTATACAAATGTATTTGTCGTATTGATTTGAAAGATCTTCAACATGGTTCAGATCTAAATTTGAAACTCGTAAAATAAAGCGAATCTTTATTTGTAATATAAACTGCTACAATATGCTAGTGTGTACAAATGTGTTTGTACAAATGTATAACTCTTTGTCAATTGTTATGGCACCTTATAACTTAAAAATCATTTTCATTAACAAATATAAAAAGTGACAATTAATATTTTCATTAAATGCATATTTAATTATCAAAACAATGTCGATTTAGCTTGAATGTTCATTATAAATGTGTAAGTTTAGGAAAACAAAAAATAATTAATTCTCGCAAAGAAACTTATTTTAAAAGAACCTAAACAAAAGTTCATATAATAATAAATCTAAAAATAGATATTAATTTAAACGAAGATAATGAGAGAATGGGGATGTTGTAAAACAATGAGACTTAATGATCAAATAATTAAAATAATAAAATTAATTAAAGGAAAGCTAAAATAGTTTAATGAATTTTTATAGATTGGTTACACAATCAATGTTTCTGTGTCAATGTACATCAATCAACATCGTTTCATTGAATTTTGTCTTCATATATACTTATATATTACTGTTCCTGTTTCCCTTATTATTAATTTTCAAATTCTTATATAATAATTTTTTATTCTAAATGATTTGTCATAAATTAATTAATCTCATTTCCAAAAATATCATCTTCTGTAATTTCGAATTCATTGATATTTATATCATCGGATTCTTCTAATTTAATTGTAACAGAATTTGAAAACTGCTCATCATTTTTATTCAGATATTTTTCAATTTCTATATCTCGATAATCGGCCTCTCCAAATCGAAATGATTTTTTATGTTTTTTGATTATTTCACTTGGTATTTCTGCACGTTCTAATCCAAAATTAGATGTGAATACATCTAACTCTTGTTGAATTCTTGTCAATGGTATAAAATACGATTTTTTATGATCAAAATTGTCATTTTGCTGTCTTGCATATCGATGAAAATATACCTTATCAACTTTCAATAGGATGTAAATCATATGATAAATAGTTGGATGTGGGAATGCAATATGAGAGTTTAACACTTTGTTAAATGACTCAACTCTTATATACGAAAAAAAGAGATCTGACATTGTGTCAGATCTCAGTAAAAGTGACATTTACATGTCAAAAAAATAGAATGAGTTTAAGTAATTAAAATTGAGGGTGAGAGTAGTATTGTATGAAATAATATCTCTCACCCTCCAATTCATCCTATGGCGCCGAAAAAATTTTGGTGAAATGCGACCACATTTCACCAAAATTTCTCGGCGCCATATAGAGAACTAGAGCCTGTGAGGTACTGATACTATCCATGTACCTCGCAGGCTCTAGTTCCAAGCCAAAATGGCTAAAAATTGCCCGCAATTGTTCACATTGCGGGCAATTTTTAGCCATTTTGGCTGGGAATTGGAGGGTGAGAGTAGTATTGTATGAAATAATATCTCTCACCCTCCAATTCATCCTATGGCGCCGAAAAAATTTTGGTGAAATGCGACCACATTTCACCAAAATTTCTCGGCGCCATATAGAGAACTAGAGCCTGTGAGGTACTGATACTATCCATGTACCTCGCAGGCTCTAGTTCCAAGCCAAAATGGCTAAAAATTGCCCGCAATTGTTCACATTCCCATCTTTTGTTGGTAAGACGAAGAATATGAAATAAATTATGAAGAAGATAATGATGAATAAAATATCACTTTTTATATTTTTGACACGTAAAGTTGTCACTTTTCTGTCAAACCGTTTTTATCGTTTTCGTATATAACATACTTTCTTCTATTTTTACGAACACGAATGTGAGTACCTGTCGGGTTCCCATTGTTGTCATAGTCAATAGTATTTTCATATGGGTCGCGTTTAGGTATTTCTATTTTTACTTTGTCACCTTTCTGAAGTTTGAAGCCCGGCATTCTTTCTTGTTTGTCTCTTTTGACTAAATTATTAAATATATAGTCTTTCTCTAAGTCAGGGTTGTTTTTCATTTCTTCGGGGGAGTGGTTTCCCAAACCTTTTTGTTTACGGCTATTGTAAATATTTAAAACTTGTCTCATCTTTGCCATGGAGAAGTGTCTATACTTGTCGTCATATGACATTTCATTTGCTTCACCACCTTGTGGTTGGTTTAAGTCTCTTAACATTTTTATACAACCGTCAATGACACCAAGAGCAGAATGGTTTTGGTCGACAATGAAATATTGGTTTACATTTTTTGAACGCAGATAGTTTTTTACATCATCTGATTTGAAAGAACTTTCACAGTCAGATGTCAGTTTTGTTGGATGGTATTTGTCAACGAATATTGTCAAAGCTGCTAAGATATCTAAAATAGCTTTGGACTGTAATGGTATGGCTTCACAGTATCTTGTGTTTTGACCAACAAATATTAACCAGTATGGTGGTCCATCTTCTCTATACCTCGGAATGTTTTCCAAGATATCCATAAACCAAGCATTTGGTGTTGAACTAAAGATTTTTATCATGAGTGCTTTTTTTGTTGCCTTAGAAACATAGGGGTCCTTGTTTGGATTCGTCATTTTTTAACCCATAAGAAATGGGTTTATTTGGCGCATTAGCAGGAGTTGCATCCAGATTTTTGCCCGCAGTGGGAACAATAGCCAGAGGTGTATTTGGAGTTGGAAGGAAGATTTTGAGTACATTAGGTATACTGAAAGAGAAAGCACAACCTATTATACAAACTGTACAGAAAGGTTGGGATGTAGCACGAGATGCAACAAATCTTATTCCAAATCCTGAAACAAGAGGGAAAGTTCAAGGATGGATGGACAATGTAGGAAGACAAGCAGGAAACTATTATAACAAAGCAAATGACTACTATAACCAAGCAGGACACTATATGGACCAAGGTGAAAGATTCTTTAACAGAGGATATAACCATGCACAACAGTGGGTAAACAATAACCAACCTCAACCGCCTCAAACGTGGGGAATGTAAAGTTTTTTATTGGGATGAAATGAACAATACAGCATTGAGACAAATGGGTTCAAGATGGATTTGTCGACTTCCAGCAGTTACACAACGTGTTTGTCAAGTTCTTCCTATACCTCAGGAAGTTTTAGACCGACTTAAAAAACCTAAACAACCAGTTGAAAACAAACCAAACTAAAATTTTTTACTGAGATGAAATGACCGAAGAAGTTGAAACGGTAGATTTGACACCACAAACAAAAAGTTCAGAACCATTGTCAAAACCTGTCAAAGAACTTACAGATGAAGAGAAAAATTCAATAATAGAAAGTGCCAGGTCTGGAAATACAAACCCTAACTACAAAGTCACTTTTCATAGAAATGGAACGGCTAGTATCTCAAAAAAGAAACAGACTCTCACAAATAAAATATTGAAGTCTGAAGGAGCTTTCGAGACAACAGATGGAAAAGTTTACTTCACTGACCAACAGTTCATTATAGAACATCTCATTGACTTAGAGTCAAAATATTCTAAACTTTACAACAAACACAAAAAGTTGAAAGGAAAACAAAAACAAATGGCATATGATATTTATGAAGATGTTGACGACACAACTGTTCCTGCAGGTGAAGTAAAGTCAGAGGAACCGAAAAGTGACGAAAAACCGATAGAAGAAGAGAAACCAAAAACTGAAGATAAACCAAAACCAAAGTTTAGTTTCCAAACTAAACCAAGTCAACCTTCATTAGCTGGTATGGGTTGGCGTCAAAGACTTATGGCAGCAGGCGGTTATGTTAAGTAAAGAAAAAAACATTTTTTTATTTTTATAAAAATGCCCCCATATAGAATGGATAGAAAGTCTGCTAGAATAAAAGCAGAGTTACAAAGATATGGTTGGAGAGTTTCGAAGAAGTTTAAATATAGGAAGGGAAGACCCATAAAAGTCTATGACAAACTGGCTGGTCTTCGCTACGAAATGGATTTGGAAACAGCACGTGCCAATTATCCAAACAGACTAGAGAGGTTAGAAGAAGAACGTCTTATGGACATGCCTTTCGATGTTAGTGAACCTCAAGTTGAAGGACAGGACGGCTTTGCCAGATTCTACTGGAAACATGACGAACAATTGCATCCTTTGAGAAGGAAAAAAGGAAAAGGTGAAGACGCACATGCTCCCATGGAAAGAACAAGATATGCATATGAGAAGTACCGTGAAGTTAGAAGTCAAATTACATCTGGTCGAACCTTTACAGTAAACTTTGACGAAGGAAAGAACAAAGAAGGCTTCATGGGTGTACTTGCTGCCATACAAGACGGAAATAAGAAAGGACACAATCTCAGATTGACCATAACGGATTTGGATGGTCACATTTACTATGCAAATGGCAATGAACAAACAGCTGCAAAACTTCTTGACGCTTTCAAGACTACAAAGAGAGAACAAATGGTTGACTCCGACTCAGACATTTTGAATGCAATTGAAGGAATTGCAAGTGTCAAGTTCGAATGGTACCAACCTAACCCTCAAGCAGTCAGACAACATGCTGGATACTTCCCCTTCATAAATAAGTCTGACATTGACTTGACAAGGTATGGAATTTACAATTCAATTGAAACAATTGTCAATGAACCTTGTATTCTTACATGTCTCAGGAACTCTGGTCTTGTTACAGAAGAGAAGATGAAGTATCTTGAGTCATGTGTGAAGACAAGGTACATTCTCAGAGGTCAATTGGCAAAAATTGCACCGTTGGCAAATGTCAATATCCGAGTCAACATACCTACAGCTAAAGGTTCTTCACATGACGACTATGTTGTTGAGTTCAATTTACCATGGTTGAAGATTGCAATTGTCCACAACCACTTCATGTTGAACGAAAGTCTTACAAACCCATTGTTCGGAAAAGGCAAGTGCAACATTGTCAGAGCTGTAAACATTCTTTTCGAGAAAGGTTTGTTGGAACCAATTCCAGATGACAAGCTGACAGAAACTTTTGTACCAAAAGACGAAACAAACTTTTCATTGTTAGCAAGACCAAAAGTTGTTCCAGACAAAGTTCTAGTACAAAAGAAGTACACAATTCCACAAGGAGTTGGATTGTTCGGATACCAACCTGAACCAGAAGAACTTCCAATGAGGTTGCAAGAACTTCAAGATGCTATAAACAAACTTCCATTGAGACATCCAATTGACGTCAAATTGTATTGGAGAGCATCTGAGTTAGGTCAGAAGGTTTTATATGAAACAGGTTGCTTCGACGATGTTTATGAGATAACAGGAGAAGTTTCTCAGAAGATAAGAGACTCACTTGAATTTCCACAAACTGGACCAATTGGTTGCGACAAGTTCGACTCAGATGAAAAGATATACTATGTCGACCTTAACGCTGCATACATGAGGTTTGTCCAATATATTCCGACTGGAATTCCAAACGAAGATGGTGAGTTTCCGGGAAGGAACTATACAGTTGGAAAAGTCATACAACAACTGTATGATATTAGGAAAGCTTCAAACCCCAAACTTGCAATGACACTCAAATTGCTTATGAATTCGACATGGGGATATTCCATTAAGAAACCTCAAGAGATGAAGAGTAAACATTATGAGAAGGTCGACAACTTTGTTGAAAGGTTTTCTCCTTTTGTTTTGAAGTACGAATTCACTCAAGGTCAAAGTGGCTTAGTAACCACATTAAAACCTATTGTCGAACATTGGTCTTACCCTCAGTTCGCAAAGGCAGTACTTGACAACTACAACAAATTCTTCTCCGAAGTCAAATCCAAAGTGAAGGTTTACTATGAGAACATTGACGCACTCATGACGAACGAAGAAGGGTACAACAAACTCATTGAAATGGGAATGGTCGGTGAAAAGATGGGCTGTTTTAAGCTAGATAAGGTATTTTCTGAAGTTCATGTCCTCTCCAAGCGTAAGTACTGGGGCATACTTGAAGACGGCACAGAAATAAAACATTGCATGAAGTAAAAAATTTTTATTCGAATTTGAATTAAAATGTGGGAATTCTTGGGAACGGGAAAGGCTTATTTACTTGAGGAACAGGTAAAGGTGGTGGAGGTGGAGGTGGTGGCAACCAGTCCATTTTATATTCCTTCCTAGCTAATTTCCGTTTAATTTCATGGTCGCCCTCGGAGTCTTTGAATCGGACAGGTCGAGTTACACCATTCTTGGTCTCAAACTCATATATAACCTGTTTGTCTGTATTTTCGTCGACTATGACACGAGACACAAACATTGACCAAACGGACAAAAAGTGTCATTTCGGATGGTCAAGCAGCCAATCGCATTCGAGCACTTCGAAGAAGCCTTACGTTCCAAGGGAGAGGGTGTCTGGTGCAAGGCAGAGGTCATGAAACTCTACGAGCAGTACATCCTCAATGCCTGGGAGGACAAATCGTCCTTGGATTGGCAATTCTACCAACTCCTCTGGGACGACCTCCTACGCAACTGGGATAACGAAAGAGTCCAATTCAAAGGTCGGGAACTAATTTTGCAAATTACCCTTAATTTAACATACTTATCCAAATAAACACCTAAATTTACTTGGGGTTTCCCCCTAAAATAAAATTTTTTTACTCTTAGAACCACTCGAGGTTCTCCTTACGGTTGTTGAGCTTGTCACCGTCAATGTGTCTGACCCTCGTCTTCTTGTATGGATTTGGAACCCATTGCATACCGACAAGCCTTCCCATGGAAATTGAACCGTAATTCCGAAGGTTAAGGTTCAAGTGTCCCAAGTTGTTGAGGACTGGGGTAAGAACCTTGCCTGTCTCCTTGTTCCGGATTTGGTATGGGTAGGGTTGGGAAATTTCGTAAGCGTCATCGGCAACAAGGGTTGCCCAAACTTCCTCTTCTTCGTGTTTCTCTTCTTCATCTTCTTCCTCTTCTTCTTCGTGTTTCTTTTCTTCCTCTTCTTCCTCGACAATTCCTTCTTCAATTTGGTACTCACGAAGTACGGTGTTGCATGTTCTGTCCTTTCCGAGTACCTTCCAGATGGCGTCTATCTCTTCGAAGAAACGGTAGATGAGTCTGGCAAGGTCTCGGTTTTCTCTCTCGTAATTGCGCAAGGTTTCCGTGAAATCGTTCAGGCATTTCTCATTGGAAGCTTGGTTCATGAGGACATCGGCTTTGAGATTGGTCATCTCTGTCATAAGACTACTTTGGAGAGTCTTAATGGTGTTTGTCAGATGAGCTTTCAATTGGGCAATTTGAATTTGAACTGGGCGCTTGTCTGGCAACCTTGAAAGGACATCTGCTATTGTGTTCGGCTTCGGTGCTTGTTCGGACATCGAAAAAATGATGTGGTTTGAGAATGGCGGTTTTACTTCAAAAAGCTTGTTATGACAGTTATGTCATACAACAAGTTTAAAATAATATCTTGTTCTTCTTCTGAACGTTTGTTGTCTCTTCCGATAAAAGTTTGGAACATGAGAACCAAAAAACGTTTTTTGAGATTGCGGAAGAGTTCAGGCAAACGTTCATATTCCGGATATGTTGGGAGCAGTTCGAAACATCTGAGCTGACTTTCGGACAAAATTGGGACAATGTCAACAAATTCATCTTTGGTCGGACTGCTTGAAGGTAAGTCCCTTACATGTAAGTAGCTCTGGTAAAGTCTTCTCATTTCTGCTAACTTTTGGAGTATAGCTTCGTAGTTTAGAAGTTTTAATTTTAATTGTCTTATTCCACTCTTGACATCTAAACGGTAACTATCCATGAGGTCAAGAGTAGCTTTGGTAGCTTTAAGTGGAGCTATCTGTTCCTTGACTCCTGCAATTTTGGTTGCAATTGTGATTTGAGCTCCTTCAAGTTCGCCGTCTATGTCGTTCTCAACGTCTTCAACCATGGCTTGAAACTCTTCATCGGTCCATTGAGATTGGTGTGGGACGAATTTAACTTGCTTCATTCAAAAAATGAAAAAAAAATGTTTTTACTCAAAACGTTAAGGTTGACTGAACTGGTTGGATGTCGCCTTCACAGGTTATGTAGAACGGCTGACCCGAGAAGTGAAGGAGAGACTGAATTGCCAATTTCATATGGGGTAGGGGGTTCTCCTTGTTTGGTATTTTTATCCAAGGACGTTTGTTTAGGAACTTAACAAGAGCTTCTCTTTTGGCGTCCTTTATGCCATCGAAAGGAGTGTTTTCTGGTATTTGAATTGGAATTCCAGTCGAAGTCTCGAGATTCAAGACAGCCCTTCCAGAAATAGCGGTGAACTTGACCTTGGGCTTCATTACCCTGCGCAAGTACTGCTTAACAACTTCATTTATCTCTATAAGGTAAATTGCCTCGTCAAATCCTTCTGGCATTCCGAGTCCTTCCATCCGACAGGAAAATATTTTCCCGACAACTGGAAAAACTTTTCCGGACAAAGGGAAAAATTTTTTCCGACGACAGGAAGAACTCTTCCAGTTGTCCGTCCGTAAACCATTCAAATTTTCGAAAATTGAGAACTTTTTGGTCAAACTTCAGAAAAAGTTTTTCCTTCCGACAGAAAAAGTTTTTCCTTCCGACAGAAAAAGTTTTTCCTTCCGACAGGAAAATATTTTCCATCCCACAGGACACAAACGAATGTCCCACGTCCCACCAACCGAGTCCATTCCCAAACCAGAGGAACCGAAAGCTGCAGAACCACAACAGTCTCCTCAGCAACCTCAGTTCCAGCAAGTACCTCCGATTTACTACCAATTTCCACCTCAAGGTTACTACCCACCACAAGGCTTCCCGAACTACCCTCCTCTGCCTATGCCTTACTTCCCCAACCCTTGGATGTTCCAGCAAGCTCCACCCCAGCAATTCCAATCTCAATCTCAATCGAAGAGAGACCAAGAGTTCGAAGAAGGTCTGAACCGCTTACGCAAAGATTATGCCACAGCCCCTATGGAAGACGACAGGCTTTCAGTCTCTTCCCTCAAATCGACCGATTCGACTCGTACCACAGATTCGGTTCGTGACCGTGAAGACTACCTCAAGCAGTCTGAGAGACTCTTCATCCTACAACCATTTACAGTTGGAGCTCTCAAGAACATGCGCAATTACGAAGGTCAGACACCAGCTGGAGACCGCAAAACAGACGTACTCGCAAGAGCCGTCCAGCTCGTCAAAACAAAGACTGAGATAGTCGACTTCATACTTGCAGCTTGCCCTTACAAGTAAAAAAATAAACAATTACGAATTAAACTTTTTACTCTTTCTTTTCTGAGTTGTTTAGAGCTGGTTTCTCTTGTAGGAACCTTTCGTACTCTTCCATGGTCATGTAATTGCGAATTTTGTACGCAATTCCAGGTTCGTTGTTTTTGAACCTGATGTATGTAACGCTTCCATCCTCCTCAGGGAAGTAAGCTGTTAACATCTGACCAAGTTTTCTCGGTGACTCGGAGCTCATAAAAATGTCACTTTTTAAATGTTAAGTTTTTAGTCTTATTTTACCCTTTGTTTACCCTTTGTTTGTCAAGGTAGTATTGGAGTGCAATTTCTCCAAATTCTCTGTGTCGGAGTTCTTCAGCATTTTCCAAGGTGTACCTGGAGAACTCAAAGAAGTTGTCAAGAAGATATTGCCATGCTGCTCTTCTGAGTTCGTCGGTATTTTGGAAGTGTTGCACCTTCGAGTCTTCGGACATGAAAAAAATGACACTTTTTCAGCAAAAATAATGTTTAGGTGAAGTGGTGAGATCTCACCTGTTTTTTCACCTCTTTTCTCACCTCTTGAATTTGTCATGAATTTTCCCGAAATAAAAAATAAAGTTAGTTTTATTTTTATTTATTTTTTTATCCGGAATATAAAGACAGATATGTCAACAACAGAGAACACAACAACAGTTATAGTCCATGAAGCCATAAATGAAGAATATGAGTACATACAGTTTAACAAACAACTCCGTCTCATTCGTTCGGTCAAAGACGATATGTACCAAATGCAAAGTATTTTGACAGCATGTTTTGCTCCAGATACTAAGCTTCCTAAAGACTGGTTTAGGAACCAAAGCACACAAGAACTTTTGAGCGAAGCACAGCGAGACATACTTTTTTCTGAAAACAGTGAAGAACAGCGAGTAGGTAAAAAACCCCAGTCGCCAAAACTCTATGAAAATCGTGAAGAACAGCGAGTAGGTAAAAAACCCCAGTCGCCAAAACTCTATGAAAATCGTGAAAAATTGCCAAACGGTTTGAGAGGATATTATGTACATAGACTTCTTGTAAATGCTGTTGCAATGTGGGCTTCGCCTCGTTATGCATGGCATGTTTACAGACTTCTTGACGAAATTCATAGACAAGAACGTGAAGAGCTAGAGAACAAGCTTGAAGCAAAAGACAAAAGCATTCAGAAAAGAATACCAGTTCGTACCAAAAGTAAGGAAAAGAATATAAGTATATGATTTATACTGAAGAGATGGAAAATGAAGAAGACAGAGATATGGTTATGTTGCATTTAGTCAGAAGAAACAACAAAAGCTTTTACGACCTTGCTAAGATTTACAAATCTGACAGAAATTGGTTCTATCGCGAAAAACTTACCGATTCAATGACCCAAATGAAGATGTGAAACAAATAGTTCAAGATACGTTACCTCAAACACACTATGATATGAAAGGTTGTACAATACTTACATTCAAAAAGATTTGCCATTGTTAAAGGAAAAAATAACAGAGTATTTACAACTTCAAAACAAGTAGAGTAAATGAACCATTTATTTTTCAAGCTTGACTTTTTACAATTTGAACTTTGTTTGCGTAGATATGAATTCTGAAAGAAGTATGAGGGTCTTGTATGACTTTGTATTCTTCTTCCCATAGTTCATGTCTGTCAAACTTACTGCCATGGACTCTTTCATAAGTTCCATGAAATCGTCTTCGGACAATCCGGGGAAAAGTACAATGTCAGTAAGTATTCTCTTTACATCCTTACTTAAACTCTTTGCTGTCTGTACACATATTACGACTGAAATGTTAAAGTGTCTGAGCTTCTTAAGAATTCGACACATATCTTGTTCTCTATTCTTTAACAAAGGATGAGAAGCAAAGTCATCTAAGATAAGAAGACATCTATGAGGGTAAGTCTTCCAATCGTAAGATTGCAATTTCTTCGAAATGTATTCTATCTCTTTCTGTTGTTTCTGAAGTGGTGTTTGTCTAATATTCTCTGCATTTCCTCATTTGGGTCTTTAAACTTAGAATTTATATACTCATTTATAGCATTATACTTTAAAACTCTTCTTTGGTACTTCTTTATCCAATCTAACAACTCAGAGTCTTTTATACATACTAACTTAGACTTCTTTATAATACTTTGAACGAATTGACGTTTGGTCAAATTGACCAGAAGTACTACAAATAACAACTAACTCATAGAATGGGTTCTTCTCATCTAGTTCTTGTTGTTTGTGCAGCCATTTTAAGATAAGTGAAAGTCTTACCCGACCCAGGTGGTGGCAATTAGACCTGTTATACCATTCTGAGCAAATAAGAACTTGTCATGTATAGGTTTTATCTGAGCATTTTCTAACTTCCTCTTGTTCTTGTTTAAAACATTCTCAAATTTCTTGTCAATGTCAGCAAACTTTTTTTCTAACATATTTTTAGAAAAATTAAAATTTTTATCTTTTAGAAAATGTCTAGCGATTTCGCTATCTATATTCGAGACAAACTTTTTGACAGCAAAACATCTGTCGACCATAAAATCTTACATAGTGTAAACAAGAAAGGTGAATTTGTTCTAAAGTTCTGTTTCTGGGAATATGACAAGAACCATAAAACATTACAAAGAGCAGTCTTAAAATTTGTCAATGACAGACTTGTTGACAGAGATGACGCCTCTTGGAGAGATGAAGTCCAACAAAACTTCTTAGAATGCAAAGAAGACACATGCGCTGTTCTTGAAGATGAAATAGAAAACAGAATAGAAGAGCTATTAAAGGACAAAGAACTTTTACAGAAATATGGTTCGGAGAAATTTGACATAACTCCACCAGAGAAGAAGAAGAAGAAAGAAAAGAAAGAGAAAAAAGTAGAAGAAAAGAAAGAAAAGAAAGTAGAAGAAGAGAAGAAAGAACCTGAACCAGTTCCAGAGAAAAAGAAATTTGACATGTAAAAATAAAATTTTATTTTTAGAACATTTCTGGGTCAATGTCAATGTTCTCTTCCTCTTTAGGAGTAAACACACTGGCTTAGACTCTAAAATCTTTTTACCCAATTTACCTTGAACTTCTACAACTTTAGACTCATAATATTCATAGTCGTCTGCTTTCTTTGGTTCATAAGGTATAACAAGTTTGTATGCTTTGCCTTCTTTAAGGTTTGAAAACCTTCTGTCAAAACTTTCTTTGACTGCTAACAAACCTTCTATGTCTAAGTCTTCAAATTTCGCACCATTTTTAGTCACAATAGCAAACTTAACTGGTTCGATGTTCCAAACTTTGCTGAATGAAGACTTTTCAAAATGGTAGAAGTAAACATTCAAATATGTGAATGGGTCTAGTTCTTCTTTAAGTCCTGACATGTACTTGTTTACTGAGATGAATTTTGTCATCTTTTCTATCGGATAAAAAAAATATTTTTTAAAATTTACTCAGAAAAATTTTTCTTTGTATATACACCATTCTGAACATCTAAAAGACTTTTGACATTTGCCAAGAATGTACGTTTAGAAGCTGCCATATAACCATATTCTTGACAATATTGTTTATACGAATCGTACAATGACCTTTCATCTAATGACACAAAGTCAGTTTCATCTATGAACAGTTCATATACACTCTTGTTTGCTTCTAACAATGTTTGTCTCTCTTCGGTATGTGGAATTTGTCTTGGATTGAACTTAGAAATATCTAATGTCATGAAATATGAGAACAAGTGGTTGTAAAAGTCAGATGTCAAAGTTTCTGCTAAGTCGTCAAAATATTCTGTATCTTGCATATGAGAATCTGACGTTCTGACAACTACATATCTTCTGTCAGAACTTTCTAACTTCATCGGAACAGTATTGTTTGAAACCATAATGAAGTTTGCAACATTCTCACAAACTCTTTGGTCTTTATACTTTCTTTCAACAACTCCAACTTTGTCTGTTATAAGACTCTTCAAAGCATCTGAGTTCAAAACTTTTGTTGTATCTATACTTTGAAGTTCATTGCAAACTATAAGTTTCATATTCTCTATTGAGGAGTTAAACTTGCCACAGATGTTTTCTATGTTTGTCATATTCGGATTCGAATAACCTTCTAACAGTTTGCACAAAATATCTGTAAAGAATGTGTTCTTACCAGTTCCTTGTTTTCCAATTATAATGAGAGCAGTTTCATTTTTAGCACTTGGATGTTGTAAGATGTTTGCAAACCAACATAAGATATACTCATAGACTCTTTCGTTTCCATTGCATATAATTTCTTTGACATGGTCTAACCAAGCTTCTATAATATTTTCTTTCCATTCTACTTGTTCATATTTATATCCAGTGAAGATAGAATAGAAGTTTGGAGAAGGTGTATAGAACTTTATACCTCGAACTGAAAAATCTTCTAACTTTGACAATAAGATATCCCAAGCATCTAACATCTTCATGCCAACTTGTACGACTTTTATTTTCTTAAGTTTCTGTCTACATTCTTGTTCTGAAACTATTGTTGCTCTTGGTTTGTTAAAGACTACATCCCATTCTTTCATGACATAACATTCTGGGGCAGAGTCAACATAAATGACTAAACGTTTCAAATTCTCGACTGCTTTGTTATAGTCTCGAAATGGACACATATTTCTGAATGCTTGGAAGTCATAAAAATCTGAAACATCTATTCTGTACATTTTTATAAAAATAAAAAAAATATTTTTTTTATTCTTGACTTTGTTGTTGCATTTGTTGCATTTGTTGCATTTGTTGTTCTTGAGCTATTTGTTGTTGAAGTTGTTCTTGTAATACAATACTTTCACCAGTTGCATCTTCCAATTCGAAACTTTCTGCCGTCATTGACAAATACATAGGACATAAAAGTTTTACAGGAACAAAGTTTGCGTCAACTAATGTCAACGTTATACTTGCCAAAGTGTTTGAGTTCACTAAGGTTGAAAATTCTGCATTCGAATGAACAATAGGCAAACCAGCAGAGAAAGTATTGTTATACGCATAAGTATCTTTTGGTCATAATAGTTTCTGTCAACATTCGAATAACACTTTGAACCTAAGTTTGAAACAATATATAAGATTGGTGTGCTTAATGTCAATGGAATAGACATTCCTTGTATGACACCTTTTCCTGTTATAGGAAACTGTTGTAGTAAAAACCAGAAATAAGTTTTGTATTATAGCTCATATCGTTTATAGTAAACTCAGTCGGACATCCAAACATAATGAAACCTGCTCTAGTTGCAGCACATGTTACACCCGTACTTAAAGTATTAAATAAGTCAACAAAACCTGTTGGTGGTATATCTGAGTAAGTATCTTCAAAGGAGTATTTTTTACCATTCACAACAATAAAGTCTTCTGGTGTCAAAAGAGCAAAACAGGCTTTAGTCGTCATTGTGTTTAAGGTTAGTTTACAATATCGTCCTTGAGGACTTTGTAAGTTTGTTGTTATAGAATTATATGACTCAGGGTTTTTAGTCGTAATAGTATAAACCATTATGTCTTCTGCCATTTATATATATTTAAAAGTTTTTTCTGAAAGTGGAGAAGAACTTCATCTAAACTTTCACATGGCGTTTCTTGAAGTTCTCTGTCTAAGAAGTTCAAATATTTTGTAAAGACATAGAACTTTCCTTTGTCTACACGAACAAACAAAACAGGGTCTTTCATATCGTTCAAAAGTGTGTAAAGTCCTTTACATGAAATAAAGTCTATATTATTTTCTTCAAACATCTTTCAAGAAGTTTTGACATTTTTACTTAGCAAAATAAATTTTAATGAAAATGTTGTTTGGTCGTCAAATATTTTTATGACGTCTGGGAAACTATACTTTAAGTTCAAACGTTTCACCTCCTTTCATACGTATATCTTGTCAATGACATTATATGAAACACCACAGCAACTAATGTCGGGTTCTATTTCTTTGATGTTTATATCGTCTGCCTCTGTCAAAAGTTTCAATAGTTCTTTCAAAACTTCATGAGGTGCAATGACATATGAGTTCACTTTTACAGGGTTGTGTTCGACCAAGTTTAACATTATACCTAAAGCTTGACAAATCTTCTCCTGAGTTTGAAGTTTGTCTTTAAGTTGTTGGTAGTCATTTCGAATATCTGCAACAGAACTTAAGTCTCTGCTAACTTCAGGATATGTTGGTTGTTCTTTTACAGGAACAATTGCTATACCATCTTCGTCTTCGTATGGTTTCCCCACTTCAACATCTCTGTCTTTGACATTGACAACAATACTTTGACTGTTTGTTTGAGTTGGTGAATTTAACTTCACATCTGCCACCGCCATTAAACCTTTTGAAACACTTACGCTTTTATTTTTCGGAAATGACATTTTACTTAGAATAAAAAGATGGACGTATTCGGATATCTCTTCGAATTGAAGCAAAACAAAGTTTACACACACAAACAATACAAATACATTGACAGAATAGTTCTTTATACAAACAATGGTAAATGTTATAGAATAGCAGTCTTTGCTGAACCAAAATATTTTCATAAAGCAAAGAAAGTTGGTATAACTGAAATGGTGAAAGTTCTTGAAGCAGACAAAAATATAACAACAAAACTTACAGATATTTCTAAAGGAAAGTTTATAATACAATATTATGTCAAAACTGGCGTACTGTCAATATTTGACGGAGAGAAGTCAGTTCAAGAACAACTTACTGACCTGCTGCCAAAATCTGCTCGATGGAAGCTGTCGTTATGCCAATCTGAGGAGCCCCAGCAGGTTTCATCGAACGAATCTTCAAAAGAGCATCTTCCGTGAAAAGTGCTATTGGTTTTGTAAACTTCTTTGCTCTCAGTTCATCTGGACCGTCTCTGTCACCAGTATATTGTATTTGTACAGTACCAACAGTTGAAATACCACCCATAAGTCTTCTGAGTCAGCAAATGGAATGCCAAGCCAAAAGTTTGAACGGTCTCCATTTGTATATTGAGTTTTTTGACCTCCTGTATGAGTCCATACTTTCACATATGGCATAATAGAACTTTGCATTTCAGGGTTAATGGTTGTTGTGAAGTTGTTGTTAAAGTTCATAGCATCTAATGTCAAGTTGTATGACCTCATATCCTCAACTGTAGAATATTCTTCTCTTGGATAATATTTGCCATCTATGTTTATATGATATTTAATACCGGGGTTGTAGAAACAAGAATAGTCATTTATAGTTCGTCTGAACAGTACAAACATAGTATCTGCATGTTTCATTGCAGTTGTTAAAGCAATATCTGTTCTTGCACCTGGGTCAGCACTTTGGTTTCCAACTTCACCTGCAAAGTCTTGACAGATATTTGGTGTATAGGGAACATAAGTGGAACTGCAATATATTTGGCAGCTAAAGCATTTGAAATATCTGGGTCCAACATATAGACTGCAAGTCTGCTTTCTATTCTCTTGCATTCAAATTTTTCGCATGTGAACTTAACTGGGTCCCAAGCAGTTCCAGCAGCATTGAAATAATAGTTTACTTCATTGTTGAAGTTTGAGAAACCAAAGTCTAAGTCAACTTTGTCTTTGGCAAAATTCGGCGAATGACGTTTGATTTGTTCCCTTTACGTCTGTAATAGTGAATGGGTCTTGTGTTGGTGCAATGACTAAGTTATTTTTGCTTGGAGTAAGTTCGATAGAAATTTTTCCTGCCCAGTTTGGCAAGTATCTTAAAAACCTGAAGATGAGGAAAGATGACAAAGGAACTCTAAGTTTCAGTTTTACTTTTGGTTACTGCTGCTGCAGTTTGTCCAGAAAGGTTAACATAAACTCCTGGAACGTTAGGGTCAAGTCTTCTTATTTTCTCAATAGTTGCATACTGGTCTGTTTGTTCTCTAGCTTGTGGTTGTACTGAGTTTCTCAAAGCGAACCATTCATAGTTTGCCCATGTTACTGTTTGAACTAAGTCAGAGTTAGAATATATCTTATATCCCATGAAAACTTCTGGAGCATATTGGTATCCGACATAGAAAATTCCATTGCAACCTTTCTTGTCAGACAACTTGGCAGAAGGTTTTATTTCAATGTCTTGTTCCACGTATAAGAATGAGTTGTCAATAGAAATAATATGAAACCTGTCGCAAGCAATATCTACTGTTGTTGAAGAACCTTCTCCAAACTCACCTACGTTTCCATAAGAAACAGCAGTTGTATATTCGTAAGTTCCAGGAACTATTTCTGACCTTCTAATGGCATTGTCGCATTCGTTATACCATTCGGAAACATTTCCGTTCATGGCATCCAAAACTGTTGGCGTTATATTCTGAGCGGCGTACATTTCATATGGGTAAAAATATAGAATAGTTGGATTTATGTGTCATAATAGAACCCACTCGTACCAAGCTTTACTTTCTTCCTGACTGAGTTTTTAACTCTTCTTTTTCCTTCATTGCCACTACTTTCACTAGATGAAGTTACTTCTTCACTATTTTCACTTTGTTCTACTCTTCTTCTTTGGTGTCGCTTTTGGTAACTTGCCCTCTGCTTCAAGTTGTTGCATCTTTGCCTCATGTTCACCTAGTATGTTGTAAATTTCCCATGTCCTTTTTGCCTTTGGGCTCTGGTCGCCCATCTCAGGTAACCTATATCCTAGAAAGATTTTGTCATAGTTTGTATTTGAGTCTTTGCTTATTGTTTGCATGACTCTTTCCTGAGTTTCCGGTTCAAGCTCTTCAAATATAGCTTGTCCATATGGAATATGCTCGTTTCCAAATATATGTTTTTGTAGCCATTCTGGTTTTCTTTCCATGTTACCAATAATATCTTTTGTGAATGGGAAAGCTTTTACCCAATGTTTCAGTCTTGCGTCATTTATTTCTGTAGTTGGTTTTATTTTGTCAAGGAACATGTTTTTCAATACTAACATTTCATTTGGTACTGTCCATTTGAGTTTTCTTAAATATTCATCCTTATCAGTTCATTGTCTGCAAAGTAAGTTTTTATGACATTTTGAAACTTTCGTTTGCAAGGTCATGTACAATAGGTTCTCTTCCTTCTATCTCCCTAACTTTCTTTCTAAACTCTTCACCAAATATACCATCTTTATGGTTCTGTGTAGTTCTTTGAGATAAATGTTTTAGAACGTCAGGTGTTATATTTCCATCAGCCATGTTCATTTCATACTGGTTCAAAATATCTGCATCTTTCATATCTTTCAATGGCATTAAAGCCGCGCTGAAAATACCAGCTATATCTGGTTCACCATTCACTTCCATTGCGTCTACAACTTCTTGGAATTGTGGTTGTAAGTTTATGAACCACCTATCCGGATTAGCTTTATGACCCCATCTCATTGTAGTTCCATAGTCTGCAGAAACAAAAGTAGGTTTGTTTCCATATTGGTTAGGTTCTGAATGAACTTTAAACAATGTTTCATTTCTATATGTTTTGTTGAAATTTAACCTTTTATTTTCACCGAGTTCAGCCAAAGATTGAACGTTATATGGTCGTAAGTAAAAAGGATTATTGTATTTGCGTACATTTTCTTTCAGTACTTCCATTCTATGCTGAATATTTTCATCTGATGTTGGAGTCTTTTGTATGTCGGCGAACATTTTTCGATATTCTTCTACTATGTCAGCCGAATTTTTCTTAAAGACTCTTGGAAAGATTCCATATTCCCCGCATACACTTGTTGAGGGTCAAGATTTTTCGGCTGTTCCAAATCTTCATCTAGTTCTGTGAAGTTAGTTTCCAAAGGAGGGACTTGTTTGTTTCCTTCAGGCTCTTCTAGCTGTTGTTGCTGAACTATTTCTTCCATGTCTGGTTGTATCTGAACTTCTTCCTGTGGAGTTTCTTGTACCTCATCTGCTGGCATTTCATATATTCCGAGACCGTTTTTAAAAAGTTCCCTATCTAAGTCATCCGGACTCATAAACCTTTCTTCTTTCGTTCCGTCTCTATTTTTTACGCGTTTCATGAAGAGAGTTGAATTATCATTTAGCTCTGACACCAAATATCTCGGAGTAAATTCAGTCATGTCATTTGGATGATATGCTATTAAATCATATCCCTTAGCGAGCTTGTATTTTCCAGGTTTGAAATTATATCCCATTTGGTGCTGAACCATAAAGCTAAATAGGTTCGGGTCAGTATTTCCTTCCTTGAACTTTCTAATAGCTTCTTTATATCTGTCACTAAAGTCAAGAGTATCTGGGTAACCATAATTTTCCTTAAGCATTTTTAAGAATTCTTGGTTTCCTTGTTCTCTACTTCTTTTATGTCCTTGCTCTGTTTGTGGTTGTTGCTGTGCAGTGTTTTGAACTGTTGGTTGTGGTGCAGTGTTTTGAACTGTTGGTTGTGGTGCAGTGTTTTGAACTGTTGGTTGTGGTGCAGTGTTTTGAACTGTTGGTTGTGGTGCAGTGTTTTGAACTGTTGGTTTTGGTGCGTGCCTGTGTCTGTGTCCATGTGACGATGTAAATGTTTTAGGTAGTCCTGGTGCAGGTGCTTCTCTTGGAGGGTTTGGTGGTATATAAGTTCCACTAGCTAGTATATAAGTTCCACCAGCTGGCACATATGTTCCATCTGCAGCATAATGTCCTACCTGACTTTTCGTTTTTAAGAAAGCATTTACTAGGTCTGTTTTGGTCTGTTGTAACTCTTTTTCTTGACTTTCCACAACAGTTGCTCTAACGGCGTCATAGGCACTTTGAACTGCCTGTCTCGTTGCTGCATCTGTTATTTTCGTCATATTTTGTGCTACTTCTTTTAACTCTTTGTCGAAACCTTCAGACTTCAGTTTCTTTCCAGATGAGAAGTCGTTCACTAGTTTCACCTTACTATGAAGAGCTTCGAAGGCGTTCTTAAAGTCAGCATTCATTAAAGCTTCATTTGAACTGTCTTCATCCGCTTGTATTTTTGTCCTTATTGACCCTATAAGTTGGGCTGCTTTGGCGTTGGCTTGGGCATCTAACCAGTCATTATTAGCTTTTATATATTCTGCGCTTTTCATTGCCTTTTGCATGGCTGCGTCGTTATTTTTACTTTCTTGTGCTAAGTTTTCATACTGTACGGTTTGGTTTTGCAACTGTAAAAGTTTTTCTGCCTTTACATTTGCTTCAACTTCTTTTTTATACTCATCGCTATCCATATATGTCTTCAGGGCTTTTTGTTTTATTTCTTCATCTTTCAGTACTTTATATTGAGTAGTATGGTTTTTTCAAATTTATAACATCTTGTTCCATTTTTGCTACTTCTGCTGCTTTTTCTGACACTTTTTTTGCATATTCCTCTGTACTTAGTTCTTTCAGTTGTTCTTCTTTCTTCTTTTTCTCTACGTTTTAACTCATTGAGTTTCTTTGTGTGTCTGTCATATTCTAGTTTCTTTTCGTTTTCACTTATTTGTTTCTGTATGTCTATGTTTGACTTTTTGACATCTGTTATTTGATTTTTGAGTGAACTCAAATTCATTTGACTTTGAGGGTTATAAGCTGTTCCGTCTGCAGCTCCACCATAGCCTGCCATTTTCGCTAAAAGTGCCGCTCTTAAACCTCCACTCTGTGCACCAATAACTCGGTTTAAAAGCATAGGGTTGCTTGCCATTTGTTGCAACATAGTGGGGTCATTCATCATTTGTTGTTGCAACTGTTGTTGTGGTGTCAGTTTTACTATTGGATGTTTCAATGCTCCCTTCCTCTTACGTATATTCTTACGTAGCTTACGTGGCATTTTAAGTGAAGTAAAAAACGGTTTTTGACAGATGTTTATATGACACTTTTGTTCAGCACAAAAAACTACTCGGTCAAAGTGTTGTCAGTTTTGTAAAATAACCGTCCTATCTTGTTTTAAAATGGAGAAAAGGCTTCTCAAAGTATACTTCCTTGGAACGCCTGTAACTTTTCCTGTAGCGACGATAGACCCTTACTTGTCCGGACAAAGTTATACTATTTTGAGTGCTCTACAAAAAAGTCAACGGCTGGTCGGCTGGGGTTCGGTCCTCCTCTTGGGTCTTGGGCAAAATTTCTTAGGGGCTAGAAGGGGCGCAGCCCCTGGAAGCCCCACTACCTTTTTTTTTTTTTTTTTTTTTTTGTGCTATCCAATTGTCAATTCTTTGAATTTATTATAAAAAGCACGATATTCCGGCATTAGCCTCAATAAATATAAACTACATGCATCACAATATTAGCACGTAATGGAATTAAAGCGAATTTCCTAATTTCTTCTCAATTAAATTCCTAGAAAAACTTAGGAATTAATGATTGGAAATAGGTCAAAAAAATCCTAATATAAAATACATACTTAAAATAAAATCAAAATTCGAAAATATCTATTTTTCAAAACACGCATCCAGAAGCGAAAAAATTCGAAAAAATCATGTTCTTATAAAACTCGCTGATTTTGCATTTTTTATGCGATTTGAAGTGATAGAATATATTATCATTCTATTAAAACATATACTTCATTGTTACATTCACAAAATATTAATCAGAACACTAGGAAAAGTGGATTTTTGAAAAAAGACGATAATGATTATTTGCAAATCGCCTCTCAATTTTGTGAGACTTTCAATTTTTACAGTGGACCCTTAATTTTTTTTGAAAAATATACTTTTAGAACAAGAAATAGCGATTAAATAGTTGCCCATGCTGCAGAAGGCTTATTTTTACTTGTAAAAAAACCTCTCAAAAATGTGATGTAAATATCACAATTTTGAGAAATTTACACTAGGACGCCTTAGAACGCCAACCCCCTTTTTTACCTTTCCAATGCGCACTTTTGTAATATACCCTTTTCATAAATGATTACACTATCGTTTACACTTTACATATGCATATTTTCGTTATTAATACTTAAGTGAAAAAGTATTAACTTTGAAATTTGCACAGTTTTTCTCCTATGTCTCAAGTTAAGCTTCTTATGATCTATTCTATCAATACCATAAATATGAGGCTCAAAATGCATAAAAACGTTGATTTTTTGCGATTTTCAAAAAGTTTGTAGGATCCATTGACTATATTACTTATACAAGCTAAATATTGTGTATTGAATACTAAAAATAAGGATTTGATAAAATTAAGAATTTATAAAATAAAAATAAAAACAAAATAAAACATAGATAAGTTAGTATTTCTTTTTTGAACCTTCTGTGATAACTTTCTTGTTACCACCACGGCGTTTGGCAGCGCCTTCGTTCTCTTTCAGATGTAATTTGTATCTGTTGAGGTAATAGAACTCGATAACTTGTTTAACATCCTTTTCTGGTAATGCATCTGCGATTTTTGCAAAATCTTTTGAGTATTGACGATATTTTTCTACAAAAATTTGTTTTTCTTCTTCAGTCCATGCCAAACGATTACGGTACTCGTTAAATTTGGCAATTGGCTCTGTAACAAGAGCGTTCGTATTGATATATGATCTTTCCATCTTTTCTTCTGGAGAAAGTAACTGTGGTATATCATCTGCTGCCCATTTGAGGCGAGAAACTTCATCAAGCTCTGGTCTTTCAAAATAGAACTCGGATGGCCAGTTTTCTGACTTATCTCCTGTTCTATTATTGTATTCGTCGATAATTGCTTGTCTTTCCTTCCATGGACCGTTAAGCTCATTGTATTTAGTTGCCAATTCATCTTCCTTGTCATGGAGAACTACATTCTCGCCGTATCTGATTCCAAACATAGGAACTATCAAATCAGAGTTTGTTTTGATTGTTGACTTGTATTGTGGATAGTCAACAATATGTCTGTAAGTTGGGAGCGTATGATTTGAGTCTGTAGGCATTGGTGACGGATTTACAAGTGCAAGATTTTGAGCTTCTTTTGCTTTGCGCTGGTTATCTTGTATAATCGATTCTATGGAGGATTCAATCATGATCAAGCCGCGATATTCATGAATTCCGTTTGTGGCTGTATTTGGAGTTAAAGCTCGAGCTGTGTGATTGAAAGACTTCCTTTCGTATTCTAAAGATGCAAGTTCTGCTTTAAGGCGACTGATTTCGGCATCAGTTTCGCTCTTAAAGTTTTGAACTTCTTGTTTCGATGGAATTGATGGAAAAGGTGCAGCAGAAGATATAATATCTTTGGTATCGTGAAGATTGACTGTAGATCTTGATCGAACGGGCATCGGATTTCCGTGTTTGATGACAGAAGGTGTGTGTGGTTCGCTTGGTGTAGATACTTGTAACCATGGCGAACTTTGCTTCGGAATACTTATAGTAGTCGGCCTCAGATTAGGACTCTGTTGAGCAGAGTTCGTATTCAGTAAGGAATTGAGGTCTTCTCGGGGTGCAGACATTTGAATATCTAGATTTTTATTTCAGATGTTTACAAAAATTTCCAAAAGTCATTTCATTTGAAATTTTTCGTCCAAAAATATTATTGACTAAATGTACACATGTTACAAATGATATTTTTATACTTAATGGCGATTTTTATGGAATTTCAATTTTTATTGTTCATAAGATCCATAAGAAATGATGACAATCTTTAAGGCATTAAGTCTATATTGGAAAAATGTGAAGAAAAAGCACTGTTCTGTGTCAATAATTAAACACCTAAGTTAAAAATTTTACTTATAACAATAAAACAAAACACAATGTAAATGATTATTATACAGAATAAGAATATTAGTCATATCTATACTATTATTATGCTTAATGCTTCCTGCATTTCTGGATATAGCCAGAGATAGTAAAAACAATAGTATCTAGCCATCTGATGAGAACAAAAAAGCTACCAAACAGTCCGAGAACACGGCTTATCGTAATAATTCTTGGATTATATTTAGCTTTTGATGAAAGTTGTAAAGGAGAGAAATTGTAGTCAAAAACTATACCTGAGATTCCTTTTGACATGATTTTCTCCATTTTTGACTTGCTGAAATCTGCTAAAATTTGAAATCCGATTTCATTTTTGGATTCGATCGGAATTAGCTGTAAATCATACTTAAGCATGTAAACATCAGGTTTAAAGATGTTTACGGCGTGTCTGTACAATGGTGATTCAATGGAAAAATTTCCAAAAGTGAAAAGTCTTATTCTGTGTGATAAATTCGTATTTTTGATAGTTAAATATTGATGCGAATGCCCTTTTTGATAGAACTTAACATTTTCTCCAAAACCAATATGGATACTTCCAGGAGTTGTTGGAATAATTCCGCGAGCATTAATGTAACAGAAATTTTCTATTTGTTTGAAGTCTTTTGATGTGACGTTTACATCTAAATAGTCGGTTCTTTTCAAATTCAAGAAATCTAAGTGAAGATTTGCACAATCATTCCAAACATATAAGTCGATTTCGAATGGTAATTTACTTGGAAGCTGGATTTCGTTAGATGATAATTGCAAAAACGATTCAATTTCTTTATAATTTTTATATTCAAGACGGAAGTTATATATAAGGAACACTAACGAAAATATTGATATGATTCCACCTAATGTTGTCTTAACAGTCGTACCATCCTTGAGTTTTGGAAAGATATCTAAATTTCGCAGCATTTTTGTCACTTTTTTCAAATTATAGAAATGTGTTTCATATATCAGAAATTGAAGAATCATCATATGCTATTTTATGCGTTTATAGCTTAGCTCAGTTAATGTGAGAGTTTGACAATGCGGTGCTCGCATAAACATTGACTCTATTCATATTCTATTGATTAAACAAGTCATCTTTAACTTTGTGGTTATTAACATAAGATTGTATCGTGTAAATGCAAGTTTGAGGCATTAATAAGCTTATATTAATCCTAAAACATAATCATAAGAATGTTAATCATCCAATATTGATCAAAATACGTGTGTGCTATATAACATATCTGTATAATTCACAAGTAAGGTCTGTATTACTAACTTTATCATGAAAAAAGAATTTTTTTCAACATAATTTCTTATATTTTTATACAGAACTTTATAATATGAAGGAATAATCTTCCATCTGCTGATCAGTATCACAGAATCTATTGTTTCATATACAAAGCATAAATGATCTTTTATAATTTTCGTATATAACAATATTAATATGTTTATTCTATAAACAAGACAAAAACAATTGATAACTAAACCAAACAAATGTTAAAATTAAATACAAACAAAATTGATTAAAAAATTAATGTTGGATTGATTTAGCAGCCCGTGCTACTAGTTTATAGGCTGTTTCTCGTGAAATATCTTCATTCGAGCCGAGAAAATCATGAAATTCAATAGCAATATGGCGCAATAATTCTTTTTCATTTAAAGTTCTGAATTTTCCATCAATATCTTGTATTTCCCTGGCATCTTTATATTCTCTAACGGCTCTTTTTATTTTCTTCATGTTCATTTTTAATTTGATATTTTCTTCTTGGATTTTTTTGGCTTTATTGCAGCAGCAAAACTTTTTCTGCATGGAACAACAAATCTTTTCCATTTCATTGAACTTAACTTCAGCATACTTTTCTAAATCATTGATGATTTCTGAAGTTGTTAATGGTTTATTATACTCATCGATAGCTTTTCGTACTCTGTAGTCATGCCATCCTTCAAAGAAATCTCTTTGATTATTGCGTTTTCTATCTCTGTAATTTTGGAGATATAATTTTACTTTTTCATGAGCTCCTCTTTCAATTTCATCATCATATCTATGATGAGTAGATTTCGATCTGGATTTTGTATGTTTTGTTCTGATTTCACCTTTAGTTAATGAATGTTTTGTTGAATTTAAGATTGAAGATGTTGATAATGAATATTTAGAGTACGAATCATGTGTACTCATTGATGATGCTGATTCTTCTACTGACGGCTTAGTTGTTGATTGAACTATCGTCGAAGTTCCAACAGAAATATCATTTGTTGTGTTTGATTTAGTTGGTATAGCGTTCTTAGTACTTGTTGATAATGTAATTGTTGGACTTGTGGTTTCTGAAATATCATAAGTAAGTAAATCAGTAGTTGACGTTTTTAAATTAGTAGAATTCGATTTGTATTGAGATTTTTTAGAACTACTCTTTCTGTTTATAACTACTGATTTCTCCTGTTCATGTTTATTCTTTCCATTTAGACTATTGTCTTTAGTCGTTGAATCAGTTGTAAATACTGTTGAAGGCTTGGACGTACTTTTACTTTTTAGTAAAGACGATGTTGTGGAAGTTCTTGTTGATATGGGGGATGATTGTATAAGAACTAAATCGCTCTCTTCTGTAGATGAAGCAATTAACGAATTAGTTGATGAATTTGTTACAGAAGATGCGTCTTTATACAATGTTTTAGCTGTTAGTGTCGTATCAAATGTTATATCTGTAGTTTGAGAAGAAACTGGTTTAGTTTGTTTTTGAATTTGTGATTTTTTTGATAAAATATCTTCTAACGATTTAATTCTCTCCTCTGCATTCTTTAGTCGTGATCGTAGATCTCGTTTTTCTTTGTGATCTTCGATTCCTTTTTCAGCTATTTGATCAATAAGTTCATATTCTTGAACTTGTTGACCAGCATGCTGTGTAATCTTTGAGGCACTTTTGTCTAAATTTTCGGCGTATTGTAAAAGCGAATTTGTACTCGAACCTGTTGAGGAATTCATGGCAAAATTAAAATTTTAAACCGCCAATCATATTGCATTTTTTAAGTGTTGTGTCACCATTTCTAGAGTTAGAAAAGGACTCATATTTATGGTAAAAAAATGTCCACGCTCCGCGCTCTGGCTGCCCCCTGGCTCATCATGAACTGGGGGCTCAACCTCCCGAGCTTCAGCCCTCTCGTGTCACCCCCTCAAAAAAAGATTAGAATGAGAAAAAAAATTGAAAAGTTTATTTAGTCAAGGCAAATAACGTCACTATTGTCTTCAGAGGTTTCACTGTCACTTTCTTCTTCAGAGGTTTCACTGTCAGTGTTTGTCGGAACAATATCTGCAACATGATCAGCAACATATATTGAGACAAATTCGTCTTTTGGTGTTTCCAAACGGAACTTGGAATGGTCGTAGAAGACGAACTCGACGTTCTGGTAATGTTGTAGAGAGTCTGGAGTAAAGTTGGAAATTAGAATTGCTTCTCCCATTCCAAAACCTGGTAGAGATGCGAATGAAACATCTGCACTGATTCTTTCAGGTTTGTCTATGGCAACAGTAGTTATAATGTGAGGTTTTTCCTCATAACCAGCAAGAGATTGGACACGAATTATTGTTTTCTCTTCCCCTTTAGGAACTGAAAGTGTGAAATAAAAAGACTTTTCTCCGTATTCGTTTGCTTCTTCAAAGAAGTTGTATGTAGATGGATATACTAATTTGAATTTTCCAATTTGTGTTTCCCTTAAATGCTTACGATAGAAACAATAAGAATTACCGAAAAAGTGACAAAACATCAAAAACAGGGAGGGGGTCTCAATTTTTATTACTTATATTATTTTACAATATTTATATAAATACTCTTTATAATATATTTTACTATAAAATTATACCTCAAATTCAAATATTTAAAATATTATTTACATAATTATCTCAAAATTATATTTTTATATATTATTTTTCATATGTATAAATCATATAATCTATATCTATGCAAATCTCATCTAAAATTTTTTGAAACAAACCGCTACCATTTTATAATGGTCCATCTTAAATTCATCATAAATTCTGGTACATGTTAGTACCAGAGTCTTCAAATCTCAAACACTCTGGTACCAACATGTACCAGACGCGAGTTTCCAATGCCCTCGTACGATTTTCTATTAAGATCTTCTTGAATGAGAAGGTCTTCATAGAAACTCGTACGAGGGCTTCTCTTTTAAATACTCTGGTACCTGCTGGTATCGGAGTCGACTTTACAGCCCTTTCCCCAATTTTGAAGCTGGGGAAAGTTTTCAAGCAATGAAAGGGAAGCTCTCGCTATGAGGTGAAAATCTAGAATTTTTACCTCATAGCGAGTAATCCTTTGTTAATTGCTTGAAAACTTTCTTCAAATTATCAAAATTTCGAGGAAAGTTTCCTTGCTTCAAAGTAGAGATGGAGCCCTTTGAGCCACTGCATATAGGTCAGTGACTCAAAATACTCCATCTCTACTAGAAATCGCCAAAATTTGGGTCGCAATCTTTGAAATGCGACGCAAGTTTTGGCAATTTCGCGAGGGACTTGCTCCATTTGGTGCATAGATTCACACTCTATGCACCAGATGGAACAATTCTTTCGCTGACAGCGGGAAACTTTGTCTGAATAGTTTAACATTCAGACAAAGTTTCCCGCTGTCAGAGAGGGAATGGAAGGGTAAGAGGTATACATTATGAATATATACCTCTTACCCTTACATTCCCTCAAGAAAGTTCAAAAACTTGGGTGCAATCAGTTCTGATTGCACCCAAGTTTTTGAACTTTATATAAGGAATTGTTGACTATGATGTACTGATCATGAATCAGTACATCATAGCCAACAATTCCTTCGCAAACAGTGGGAAACTTTGTCTGAATAGTTTAACATTCAGACAAATTTTCCCGCTGTCAGAGAGGGAATTAGAGGGTGGGAGATATATAGATAGACTATAAATCTCTCACCCTTTAATTCCCTCAAGAAAGTTCAAAAACTTGGGTGCAATCAGTTCTGATTGCACCCAAGTTTTTGAATTTTGTATAAGGAATTGTTGGCTATGATGTACTGATCATGAATCAGTACATCATAGCCAACAATTCTACCTTTTAACCAAAGATAATTGATTCGTATGTAAAATATTAAGCTAAAATTTCTCTTTCTTTTAGTACACATTCTTCCATTTCGTGTACATGTATCATATATTAAGTACTAGTTATCTATTCTATATCCTTTCTCCCAATTTAGATACTCAAAGATAATTCTTTTTCAGAAGAAAAAAAAATATTTTCTATTAAACCGTTATTTTTTCAATGTGAGTTTTCAATTTTATTTTTCCTTTTTGCTGCTCAATGCAACATCCTCCACCCGATCCTCCATGCGAGGTTGATCAAGCCATAGGATATTTAGAATATTCTCGTTTTGTTATAGCTGCAGAGCTGCATGGTAACATAAGATTTGTCAAAGTGTAATAAACAGAAATTCATCAAAAGTGACAGCTCTCAATTTTTTGACATTTGTAAATTCTAAATTGAATGAGAAAAATGAAATAATACTAAGCATAATACAATATTCTAGATTTAATTATAATTAGGAAAAAGTTAGTTTTGAGAGTACTTTTCATAGGCATATAGAATGAAATCTTCTGAAAAATAATATCACATAAACTCATATTATTTTCTAATATATAACTATTTTATATAAAAATCAAATTCAATGATCTTAAAAGCGAAGGATAAACCTCAAAATTTACGAATATAATGAGTGGGAATATAATGCTTATCTATCATAAAACCATATGAAATATCAATTTTTGCTTTACGCCTAATTTTTGACGACAATTAGCAAAAAATGTTAAATGTTAACACTCAGTCCATTTGAATATGAAAAATAAAATTGACTTTGATTAAATGTTTTTATTTATCATGCAATTCTTCTTGCGACCAAAGATTTGAATAAAATTTCAAAAAATAAGATAGCTTAAAAAATAATATACGGTAGTGTTTACTAATAGATGAATAGTATATAAATTCTATTAAAATGGATTTGATCCAAAAAATATAAAACCAAAAATAATTGTTATAATTTAAATGAAGAAGTAATTTAAAACGATTTTATTTATGATCAAATTTTATATATTTTTTTGGATCAAATCCATTTTAATAGAATTTATATACTATTCATCTATTAGTAAACACTACCGTATATTATTTTTTAAGCTATCTTATTTTTTGAAATTTTATTCAAATCTTTGGTCGCAAGAAGAATTGCATGATAAATAAAAACATTTAATCAAAGTCAATTTTATTTTTCATATTCAAATGGACTGAGTGTTAACATTTAACATTTTTTGCTAATTGTCGTCAAAAATTAGGCGTAAAGCAAAAATTGATATTTCATATGGTTTTATGATAGATAAGCATTATATTCCCACTCATTATATTCGTAAATTTTGAGGTTTATCCTTCGCTTTTAAGATCATTGAATTTGATTTTTATATAAAATAGTTATATATTAGAAAATAATATGAGTTTATGTGATATTATTTTTCAGAAGATTTTGTGTTCTTCTTCAAAATTTTATTTTTTTTATTAAAAAGAATCTTTACAAAATATACATTTACTTTAATTAATATTTAAAAACGTGCTCTATCAAAAGTTCCAAAAATTCAATATTTTAGCTTTTCTGAGGTGTCACTTTTGATGAATTTCTGTTTACAACAATATTCATTCTATCCCTTTGTGTTATTTTATAATATATCCAGATAATAGTGAAAATATTTCTTTTTGCTTAAGTAAATATTTTGAAACAACTCACACAGAACCTGAATTTATCATGTCTGACTGTGCACTAAACATTTTCAACGGGATTAGGAATTCATTTCCAGAGTGCAATATCTTTTGGTGCGCGCTACATGTAATACGCGCACTTAAAAAGAATCTCTCAAAGATAAATGATGAAGAGATTAGATCAGAAGTCGAAAAATTTATGAATATTTTATGTTATTATCGTGATTGCACAGAAGAAGATGCTGCAAAAATGTATAAAGAGCACATTATTGATAAAATTCAAGATCAATTGGAATTTAATCATTACTTTACACGTCAGTGGGACATTCATAAACAACAGTGGATAGCCGCTGCCAGACCAAATGAATTAACCGTTGTGAATAACGTTTCTGAATCTTTATTTAAAAAGATAAAATATCACGATTTTGGCTGCGTTAAAAATCAAAGAATTGATGTTTTTGTCAAAAATCTTTTAGAAGAAGTTGCACCCAATTACTTTTATCGTATTAAAAACGATTTACTTCAAACAGGTTTTATTCCTTCAATTAGAATTCGCGAGCCTCGATTGACAGATTATAAAACAAAATTGAAAAGAGAAGTTCAATCACGTTTATACCAAGTATTAAATTTTGTTCAGAATCAAGAAGCCAATTTGAATCCATTAAGATTTTTATTGGAAAATGCTGAAGAAAAACTTTCTCAAATAAATGAGAAGATACAAAATTCAATTACATATTTAAGATCGTTTGAAATTCCAAATGAATTGTTAGATACGTATATGTTAGAAATTAATGAATTTTGTTATAATTCTCCAGATTATATTTTAGAACATTTCGAAGAATTTTTGGAGGATTTCAAAGAAAAGAATAATTTAATAGACTAAAAAAATTATTATTTTTATTTATTGTGAATTTTAAATTGTCACTTTTTAGGTGTTACTCCCTATTGAAAGTGTCACTTTTTGGGTGTCACTTTTTCGGAAATTCTTATATACTCGCTTCTTCAAAGAAGTTGTATGTAGATGGATATACTAATTTGAATTTTCCAATTCGTGTTTCCCTTAAATGCTTACGATATTGCTTTGGGAAGCAAAGAATGAACTGCTCTATCGCTTGTGCAGCAATGAGGTTAGCTGTAACAGGAAGTTTTGCTGCAAAGAGGTCTACTAAGACACTTGGGTTTTTAACAGTGTCTTCAAGTGGTCTGAGAGCGTCCATAACAGCATTAAACATTTCAGTGTAGTCGGTATCATCTTTAACTCCCCATTGTTGTTGCAATTTGGTTAACAATTTGACTCTTTTCTTTGCATACTTTCTTTGAACAGAGTCAGGCAAGCTTAAGTTGCAGTCATCTGATTGTGTTTCATTCATTGTGTATTGTTGCAATGAGACCAAATCTTCAAATTGTATTCTTGTTAACATTGTTTGTCTTTGTGTTTCTTCTGTTGTTTGTATATGTGTTTCTTCTGTTGTTTGTTCATTTGAAACATCCAAATGGTTTGAATTGCTGGATGATTACAATTGAATTTGTTCTTGAGAGTTAGGGTGTGTTGAAGTCTCTGGAGAAGATATAGCAGCTGTTTCTTCTGTTGTTTGCTTATTTGAAACTTCTGAATGGTTTGAATTTGAAGTCAATTTGTTAGCAATTCGTGGTGCAGCCTTTGGAATGACTGGAGGACGTAATGGAGCTTTATTCATAATAGAAGGAAGCTTTGGTGGAAGTTTTGGCGCAACTGGGAATGGCAAATTGGTGACACTCATAGTGGAAGACATTGAGAAAAATGAACTGACCAGAAGTTTGTGGAAAATGAATATTGAACAAAAACGGTTTTTACCAACGGACACCCCCTCTATTTTATTTTATTGAAAAGTCTCCGTTGGTAAAACCGTCAACTCTCAAAATTGAAAGAACTACAAGCGTTTTTATTTTCCATGTTTAGAGCCTTATAGAATGAGAACTAGCGGTTATTTTACAAAACTGACAAAAAATTTACCGAGTGATTTTTTATTCTAAACAACTTTTCTCATATAAACTTTTTACAAAAACCGTTTTTTTAAAATTTTTAAAAGTATGCTATACTCGAAGCCGCCCCTGCCTTTCTTTGGAAACAAGTGTAAGTGCAAAGATATTATTTTGAGTGATTTAAAGAAACTTCCAAAGGGTTTAACATTTGTAGACTTATTTGGCGGTTCATTTTACATATCGTACTTAGTTCACCTCACTTTTCCAGACTCAGAGATAATATGCAATGACTATGACGAATATTTAAAAAGACTTAAACATATACCTTACACTGTGGCGTACGGAAATGGTACTTGAAAAAGTGATAGAAAGGTGACAGAAAACATTATTTTTTGGCGCCAAAAAATACTTAAGTTTTAAAATTGATAATTGAATTAAAAATTGATTAATACATTTATCATATATTGTGAAAAAAATAGAATTTTTTTATCAAAAAGAATTTTTGAAAAAAAATTAATTAAGCATAAGGAAGGTTTGAAGGGTGTGATATACTATATTAAATGATAGCACTCACACTCTCCAATTCTTAGCCAAAAGGGCAGAAAATTGGTAGCATTTGTACATATTGAGGGCAATTTTCCGCCATTGCTGGTTGTAACTATGGCCTGCGAGGTAGATGGATAGAACCAGTACCTCCCAGACTATAGTTCTCTATATGGCGCCGAAAATTTTTGGTGAAATGCGACGACATTTCACCAAAAATTTTTCGGCGCCATAGGGTGAATTGTAGTCTTCGAAGAACCTAATTTGACAATGTGCCTCCCAGGCTCCAATTCTTTTTGTAAAGCGAGAAAAAAGACCTCAAATTATAAGTTATTCAGCAATCGACTCTTTGTTTTCTTGCATTCCTGAACATATTTGAGGTTGTTGATTCGAGAGTAGTATGTCTGTAGTGAATTTTTCTTTGCAATTTGAAAATTATTTTTATTATTTAGAAATTTTTTCGTTAACTAAAGCTAATGTACATTTTCCGAATGCAACCACATTGTATTGTGGTTTTTATTAAGTAATTCGTTATCGAATTTTTAGATTATTCTCGACTTGGACTTCAAGATGTATTAAATATCTGGAACTGAATTTAACGCGATATAATAGATGAGCCTTCAGGCATTTCACAAACCTATATTTTGACTGAAAAGTCAAAAATCAAGTATATATTATGAAAAAGCATTTAAAAAATGAATTGAAAGTATGAAAATATATAATTGTTTAGTCGTATAAGTGAATGTTTGAATAGTTGAAAAGGATTAGAGTAAATTTGTAAAAATTTCATGATTGTTAGGGTGCCTTAATTTGAAATTCTCTATACTTTCTTTTAATTTATATGCTTTTCCGTCGATAAACCAAAAGGGAGACTCATCTTGCTGATGAGTCTCCCAAGTAAATAATTTTTCGAGCTCCAAGCGTTCACTTGGAGAATAATGAACACCTGTAGCAGGGTTTATAGGTAAGCTTGAATGAGGTTTGCATATTGTAATTTCTAACGATGAGGTCAATATCAGAATTATATTTTAAATTTTTTTCAACTGTGGGCCACCACCTTTCTATTTTGCCATTTGCTTCGGGGTGGCCCGGGAGACTAAATATTTGAGTTATGTTTTGTTCAAAACAATTTTTTTGGAAAACTCCGAGATTTTCTTTTCCGTTGTCAGTCCATATGGTATATGGACGACAACGGATCTTTTGTATAGCACGGTTAAATACATTCCAGAAATTTATTGCTGTTTTATTTGACATTACTTGATATTCAATAATATATCTTGATCGATCATCTATAATGGCATATAAGTAATTTCCTCTTTGTCTTATATACGAAAAAAGAGATCTGACATTGTGTCAGATCTCAGTAAAAGTGACATTTACATGTCAAAAAAATAGAATGAGTTTAAGTAATTAAAATTGAGGGTGAGAGTAGTATTGTATGAAATAATATCTCTCACCCTCCAATTCATCCTATGGCGCCGAAAAAATTTTGGTGAAATGCGACCACATTTCACCAAAATTTCTCGGCGCCATATAGAGAACTAGAGCCTGTGAGGTACTGATACTATCCATGTACCTCGCAGGCTCTAGTTCCAAGCCAAAATGGCTAAAAATTGCCCGCAATTGTTCACATTGCGGGCAATTTTTAGCCATTTTGGCTGGGAATTGGAGGGTGAGAGTAGTATTGTATGAAATAATATCTCTCACCCTCCAATTCATCCTATGGCGCCGAAAAAATTTTGGTGAAATGCGACCACATTTCACCAAAATTTCTCGGCGCCATATAGAGAACTAGAGCCTGTGAGGTACTGATACTATCCATGTACCTCGCAGGCTCTAGTTCCAAGCCAAAATGGCTAAAAATTGCCCGCAATTGTTCACATTGCGGGCAATTTTTAGCCATTTTGGCTGGGAATTGGAGGGTGAGAGTAGTATTGTATGAAATAATATCTCTCACCCTCCAATTCATCCTATGGCGCCGAAAAAATTTTGGTGAAATGCGACCACATTTCACCAAAATTTCTCGGCGCCATATAGAGAACTAGAGCCTGTGAGGTACTGATACTATCCATGTACCTCGCAGGCTCTAGTTCCAAGCCAAAATGGCTAAAAATTGCCCGCAATTGTTCACATTGCGGGCAATTTTTAGCCATTTTGGCTGGGAATTGGAGGGTGAGAGTAGTATTGTATGAAATAATATCTCTCACCCTCCAATTCATCCTATGGCGCCGAAAAAATTTTGGTGAAATGCGACCACATTTCACCAAAATTTCTCGGCGCCATATAGAGAACTAGAGCCTGTGAGGTACTGATACTATCCATGTACCTCGCAGGCTCTAGTTCCAAGCCAAAATGGCTAAAAATTGCCCGCAATTGTTCACATTCCCATCTTTTGTTGGTAAGACGAAGAATATGAAATAAATTATGAAGAAGATAATGATGAATAAAATATCACTTTTTATATTTTTGACACGTAAAGTTGTCACTTTTCTGTCAAACCGTTTTTATCGTTTTCGTATATAACATTTGATGCCTAAGATAGTGTATATCTGCATGAACAATCTGATAAATGAAGGCTGCCTCGTATTTGTGATAATTTTTCTCAACTTCTGGGATTTTTGGTAAATCTTCCTCACATTTTAATATGGCCTCGTTGATTTTTCTCCCCATATTATATGAAGGAGGTTTAATCGATGGGTCAAGGTATAAGCATGTTGGAAGTCTGTAGTTTATGTCAGAAATTTGAGAAGGAGGCGTTAGAGACTCTGGTATATGCGATTTTTTAGTAGTTCTATCAATTCCATCAGTATAATTTTGCATTTGTATAACATCTTGAATATTTAAATTTGGATTTGCTGTAATTTTTTGTCTTAAATCGTTGAATTCTGTTTCGTGCTGACGAACAAAATGTAAGTCTGATCGAATTTTTTGAGTCATGTTGTTGATTCCCATAGTATTTTGGAAATCTTTTAAATTTCCATATACAACTGAACTTTTAATATCGATTTCTACAGGTTTTCGTCCCTTTTTGAGGTGATAATCTTGAACTATAGGTGAATTTATACTTTTTAACTGGTTAATCTTGTTGTAAAATGCGCATTTTGATATTGTCCTTCTAATACCTGGCTGAATTTCAGAATCTGATAATATATTCTTCAGTATTTCACCTCGGTTCAATCTCTGAATGCTATCTTTAATAAATTCGTCTGAGATATCTTGACTAAAAAATCGTTCAGTCATTAAATTTATTTAATCGGCTCAGGCTCAATTCTCTGAAAAGTCCGGACAAATTTGCTAAATATTTATGCATATTCATTATTTGATTCTATGTTTTTACTAAAAATAGATTTTTGCATTAATTAAAAAAAGTTTTTTGAATAAAATATTTTGCGAACTTCAGAAAATAAATTGAAAAGATTCTATATTTATATAAAAAAGTCTAAAATTCAAATTTGCACAGCTAATCAAACATGCTGTCTCGATCAAATTTTGTATACATTTTACAAAACTCAATCAAATGAAATATAAAGAATTTCAAATTCATTCCCACAAGCCACTACAAGAAAATGCAAGCCCAGAATCATTAGTTGATGTAGAATTTGATGAAAGTAGCTTTGAAACAGAAGACATTTTAATTATAGCAATTTCATATTTTTCTAATATATTTTGTCAATTAAAATCAGTTCAACAACATTAAATTCCATATTAACATTTATAATTTCAAAAGAATCTTTAAATTCAACAATTTTAATATTTTTTAGATAATATTTCGAAGTCCTATATAGAAACCATTGATACTGCAATATTGGAAAGCACAATTAATTTATTTTAAGACAGCATCTTGCAACACCAAGTTGCTCACGTGATGATTACAAGCATATCTGCAAGGCAAAGTCCTCAGGATGCAGAACTTTGCCTGCAATCAGAAAAGAGATTGCTCCAAGGTTAACTATAGTTTAATATCGTAAAATTCACCTCAAAATGACGTTAACACTTTTAAATTTATACGTTTAAATTCTATAGTTTATTTCCAAGTTTTTCTTTTTATTTATGATAAATACCCTATTATAGTATGTTTTTTCTTTCAAAATTTCATTAAAAATTATTCACTATTCATATTTGACGTATTTATTTCGTTAATCAAATGTTCGGCATTTGATTATGAACTTTTTGATATACTTTTAACGACATGTGTTGATGAAATCTTTGATTAGCTTTCTAAAAAAATCGCATGTGTTGCTAATATAATTCATAGAATCGAACAATG